ACAACAACAACAACAACAACAACAACAACAACAACAACAACAACAACAACAACAACAACAACAACAACAACAACAACAATGCAGATTATTGGGGAGATTAGAGGGATGGAGGAAAGCAGAGCTGGAGGATTGAAAAGTTTTTTGTTTTTTGTTTCCTTACCGCAAGGGATCAGCTTGGAACAACATACATATTAAAAAGGTACTTGGTCGATACCTAGAATGCTGGCAGCAACCTGTATCAACCATCAGCACCAGTCAATGATATTTGTGAAACATTTTTAAATGTTCAGTTGATTTGAGTTTCATGTTTAATGAATAGATAATACAAGAATAAGAATAATAATTTTGGAAAAAGAAATCGTGTGTTATCTCAATTGTGATTTGGAGCCCTTGGAGCAATAGCTAAAGGGCTACCTCATTATTTGGAAATTCTGAATTTATCAGACTTGAATACCCTGATTCTCCAAAAAACCTACTTGGAACAGCTTATATCCTCTGACACTACCTGAACAGTTCCTAGGTCCTTGGTTAGGACTCGAGTTCTTGAGCTAGCAACCAGCCCCAAAGGCTGTGAATCTCACTAAAGATTAAATTGTTGTTGTTGTTGTTGTTATCATTAACATTATTATTATCATTATTAAGAATAATAAAGCAATAGATGACCATGCAAGGCTACAACTCAGGATCTCGCAAATAACCGTGCAATTATTCCTTGGTGGAAAATAGAGGGGAAGCATTTTTTTTTTTAACCCGCATGATCCATTGGGATCCGGAAGTGTCCTGGCGCATGCCTCTCTTTCCCCCCTTTGCGCTCTTTTTCCCTTTCTTTCGCTAGGGGCGGGATACTTCTTGGGGCCGCTCTGCCCCGTCGCTCTATGGTGGCCGCTGCCCTTCTCCTCTCGGAGGGGCGGGGCGGGGCAGGAGTCCCTCTGCTGTCCGGAGACCCCGCGAGGTGAGTCCGTGTGTCTCGGTTGCTGCAGGCATGAAATGGAGGAGGAGGAGGAGGAGGAGGAGGGAAAAGGAGCCAGGGGAGATCGGGGAGGGGGCTCGAGAACTGGAGGGGTTTCTGGAGGGGTCTCTTACTGCATTGCATTGAGAGGGAACCTCGGAAGCTCAAGAAAGAGTGTTTCTGAGCATGTCCAGAGTGCATTTGCTTTGCATAGGGTCCGCATGAAAGCATTTGCAGATTTACAGGTTAATAGAGTTGGAAGGGACCTTGTAGGTCGTCTAGTCCACCCCCCTGCACCATTTCTGACAGATGGCAGTCCAGTCTCTTCTTGAAAGGAATAAAGCAATTTGTTCCCCAAAGAGAGCTTGGATACTGTTTTTGTTGTTGCTTTCTTTTCTTTTCTCTTCTTTTCTTTTCTCTTCCTTTCTCTTCTCTTCCTTTTTCTTCTCTTCTTTTCTCTTCTTTTTTTCCTCTTCTTTTCTCTACCTTCCTCTTCCTTTCTCTTCTCTTCTCACTTCTCTCTTCTCTCTTTTCTTTCCTCTTATTCTTACTCTTACTCCTCTGCTATTCAATCATAAGTCACTCTCTTTTCAAGATTTTGCTCCCGTGTCCTTGGACCCAGAATGGCAGGCTGGAGGTCCTGCCTGCCTCCTCTTGTTTTGGCATCCCATAATAGCCAGCCGCTGTTAAACCCGAGCTGCATTGGGCTTGGGAGCGTGGCTTTGGGGTAAACATCCCTCTTGCGAGTCCTACTTGCGGGCTTCAATCCTGCCAAAGTCTTACCGGGAGTGACTTGGGTGAAGAGGTGCCCTAACTCTAAACCTCCAAAGAAGCTGCTTTAGATCAGGGTAGGAAGGGGAAACAGTCTGCTGTGGTCGAAAATGTTTGGACTTCAACTCCCATCAGCCTCAGCCAGCGTGGACTTGTTAAGCCACCAACCTCTGCATCCCCCATCTGCTAAGCCTTGTGCAGAATCAGTTACTTTCCCCTCTTACCAACAGCCTAATCTTTACCCTTTTCAAGTCGGAATGTCATTTGGGGATTGCAAAGGAGAACAACCAGGATGATGGGGGAACTGGAGGCTAAAACATATGAAGAACAGTTGCAGGAACTGGGCATGGCTGGTCTAGGGAGGAAAAGGACCAGGGGAGACAGGAGAGCAGTCTTCCAATATTTGAGGGTCTGCCACAGAGAGGAGGAAGGGGTCAAGCTGTTTTCCAAAGCACCCAAAAGGCCAGACAAGGAATAATGGATGGAAACTGAACAAGGAGAGACTCAACCTGGAAATAAGGAGACATTTTCTGACAGTGAGAGCAATCAACCCATGGAACAGAAGTTGTCTTTAGAAGTTGTGGGAGGTTCATCACTGGAGGCCTTCAAGAAGATATTGGACTGCCATTTGTCAGAAATGGTGCAGGGTGGAGGGGTTGGACTAGATGACCTACAAGGTCCCTTCCAACTCTGCTAATTGTAAATTCCTAGCACAGGCTTTCGGCTTCAAATATTTAAAAAGAGAGTCTGATTTTTTTTGCTTTTTTTGGATAAGGCTTCCTTCTTCCACCACTAGCAGTAGGACTGTAAATTTTTCTCAGCACCTGTCATATTGGGTTAACAATATGCTGCTTTTGTAGGGCTTTGCTGGGTCCAAATAATGTGAACTATTCCAATCCTGCACATTTCAGGATTACTAACTTGGAGCTGCAAATCTAATGGTCCTTCCTTCCTTCCTTCCTTCCTTCCTTCCTTCCTTCCTTCCTTCCTTCCTTCCTTCCTTCCTTCCTTCCTTGTGGTTAGAACGCAGAGTTGCAGGCTAATTCTGCCCACTGTTAGCACTTTGAATTTCACCAGGCTCAAGGTTGACTCAGCCTTCCCTCCTTCCGAGGCCAGTAAAATGAGGACCCAGATTGTTGGGGGACAATAGGCTGACTCTGTAAACTGCTTAAAGAATGCTGTAAAGCACTGTGAAGCGGTATACAAGTCTAAGTGCTAGTGTTAGTTCCATACATAAATTGCAGAGCTAAAGTAGAGATTTTTGGCACCTTGAGACACAAACCAGGTACACACACACATGCAAACACAGTATCTGGGAGATATGAAATGCTTATCTCCAAATCACACTACTGTATGTATAAAGGATGTATTCATCAGTGCTATGCAGAGATGCTTCTTGCAATACAATATTCCTGAAATCATGAAAGTGAGCAGTTAGTTAACATATTTCTTACCTGCCTTTTCACTATCCAGCTTAGTGTGTGTGGTTTTTCCTACCTGATACCAGAATGTCAGTGGTTTTCCAGTATTGGGGGTTCAGGGTAGATCCATTGCAATAGACTGAAGAGTTATGAAAGGCATAAGCTTGTCACCTGTGGAGGCCTTGCTGGTCTCCGAGGTTGAGGGTTTTCTTGCAGACATTTCATTACCCAACTAGATAACATCATCAGTGCTAGAATGGAGTGAGTTTGTTCTCTGTTTATGCCCTGTCAGTATTGGTGTAACTGTTATTAATGGTTCCCTAATTGTTTGAGTTGGTAGTTCTTTGATTGGGGTTGTAGTTTATTGCTTGACTGTTGGCCTCAGGCAAACTATCAAAGAGACAACTCGGGAAAATATTCTCTTCCTTTGGTAGCTTGTAATCTGGTTCCCTTGAAATGTCTTGGACTACAACTTCCATAGACCCCCATTTAGCACATCTAATGGGTGTGATTTATGGGTATTCTTGCTTCAAAGAATGAAGCAAGCACGTTCCTGGGTTGGTCAGTTGTAGGATATTTTACCGGGAGAAAATTGGCATTTGGGATCTACTGGGTTTGGGCCCAGTTTTGTTTGTTCAAAGGAATCTTTTACAACACAACCAAATTGCTCTCTGTTTGCTTTCCTGAATCCCTAGAAATTACTCTCTTCTTTTGACATCTCTTGATGCTACCTGAACCTGATCTGACTTTTCCCAACTGAGGTTTGTCCTAATGAATCATTTTCAAATGTTCAGGGACTCGGAGGAAAACATGGGTAGAAGGTTAAGTAACCTAATATCTGAATTTCTTCCCATTATTGCAGCCTGGATAAACATTGCATGTGTGTGTTAGAGCTGCATGACTATTTTAGTAGCTGGGAAGGTAAGCCAATAAGTGCTTTTGGGGTGGGAGGAAGGAACTAAGTGTTCCTTATTGTTCAATATAGCCTTTTATTGTAAGACAATAAGGGGTCTGGAGGCTAAACTGTGCTATGAAGAGGAAAACCGGATATATCAAGTCTTGTGACGAGAAGGACTAGGGGTGATAGGATAGCAGTCTTCCAATACTTGAGGGGCTGTCACAGAGAAGATGGGGTTGATGTATTCTCCAAAGGGAACAGGTGCAAGACAAGAAATAACGGATTTAGATTAGCAGAGTTGGAAGGGACCTTGTAGGTCATCTAGTCCAACTCCCCACCTAAGCAGGAGACCCTACACCATTTCTGACAGATGGCAATCCAGTCTCTTCTTGAAAGCCTCCAGTGATGGAGCTCCCACAACTTCCGAAGGCAACTTCTGTTACATGGTTTGGTTGATCTCACTGTCAGAAAATGTCTCCTTATTTCCAGGTTGAATCTCTCCTTATTCAGTTTCCATCCATTATTCCTTGTCTGGCCTTCTGGCACTTTGGAAAAAAGTTTGACCACTTCCTCTCTATGGCAGCCCCTCAAATATTGGAAGTCTGCTATCGTTTCTCCCCTGGTTCTTCTCTTCGCTAGACTAGCCAGGCCCAGTTCCTGCAACTGTTCTTGGTTGATTTTAGCTTTACATCCCTTAATCAGGGGTGGGATTCTACCAGTTTGCACCTATTCGCTAGAACCGGTTGTTAATATTCTAAGCAGTTTGGAGAACCGGTTGTTAGAAGAAATTACTGGCCTAATCCTGTAAGAAAGGCAGGAAGGAAACATTCTGGTGTTGCTTACAGAAACTGCCTCTCCATTAACCCTTATTACATTCTTGGCAGGACTAGACTTCCTGTCTCAGGAACTTCTCTGGAGTTGTTTTTCCTTCCTTTGCTGGTACTTTGCTTGTGTGGAGTGACCATTCAAAGTTACAATGGCACTGAAAAAAGTGACTTATGACCCTTTTTCACACTTACGACTGTTGCAGCATCCCCACAGTCATGAGAGGCCAGGCGAGGAGATGCATGCCTCGATGTGAGTGATATTGAGTGGGCCACGCCCAGCCAATAACATGACCACCAAGCCACGCCCACCAACTTAGCCAAGCCCACAGAACTGGTTGTTAAAAATTTGAATCCCACCCCTGCCCTTAATCCTCTTTGTTGCTCTTCTCTGCACTCTTTCTAGAGTTTCAACATCTTTTTTTATAGTGTGGTGACCAAAACTGGATGCAGTACTCTAGGTGTGGAAGGAATGGATGGAAGCTTATTAAGGAGAGAATCCAACCTAGAACTAAGGAGAAATTTCCTGACCCTTAAAACAAGCAACCAGTGGAACATCTTATCTCTTCTTAACCAGTGGAACATCTTATCTCCAGAAGTTGTAGGTGCTCCATCACTGGAGAATTTTGAGAAGAGATTGGAAAGACATTTGTCTGAAATGGTACAGGGTCTCCTGCTAGAGCAGGGGTTGGACTAGAAGACCTCCAAGGTCCCTTCTACCCCTCTTTCTCTACATTCTAAGCAATTATATGGTGGGCATCAGTGCCCCTTTCTCATTCTCTCGGCCCTCCCTTACTGAAATCGATGCAGCTTTTTCCCCCCCTCCAAACCTGAAGCTCTTCTGGATGTTATATTGAAAAATTGCCCTCCTTAATTTACCTGAAGAGTCCCAGGTTGGAGAAAGCGGGGCAGCAAAGAACCTGGGAAGTGGCTGATGGTTCTTCTACCTACAGAGGGGGGGGGGCATTGCGGTCCCCATCCTAAAGTCAGCAAACCAATCCCTCCTTCTTTTCCTGAACGTTCGAAAAGGAAAAGCCAATTGGCCAATTTTTTTTACAAGAGTCATCTTTGTTCTGCCCAGCTACGTGC